ACTGCTTTTGATGATCAGCGCTTTGCAAATCGAAGCGGACGCTCGGAAGCGCCATAAAGTTTACGGTTTGAAGCCCCATATAAAGCTGTGGCTCAACATGGTGTTTTTCTCCCAAGCAATTGGATGATATGTGATTTCTTTCATCTGGAAAAAACCGCGGCAGTCCACGTGACCGACCCTTTTTTCAGATCTTCACAGACCGGGTTGATGCCTGACTTTAAAGCATCAAAAAGCGGTGCCTCAGGATTCCTCCAGGCAGCTTTTTTACATGTCCACGGTGATGCCTTTCTTCCTGATCTTCAGTAGCATCGGCTACGTACCACTGGGTGCCATGGCATCATGGGGATGGATCGATCGAAGGGGACAGCGGGGATGGAGAAGTTTCCGCGGCAAAGACGTGCCATGGATTCATTCACGGAGTCATTTGATTTTGGTAGATGAAGTCATCTCCATGGCTCTTTTTACCTTAGCATGTTCGTTCGGTACGTTTGGGCGTTCAGAACGCGCGTTTTAAAAACTCGCGTTCCAGAACGCGCGTTCTGAGTGAATCCTTTTTTCCAATGATATAAAGTCAATTTATTTCCGGGGTTTGAACAGAGAAACCTTTTTCCCCCCAAATGAAAAAGGATTTTGAGAGCTCTTATGGGCTCAAAATGGTGTATGAAGCCACCAGAAAGATGATTTTCCCAACTCCGGATCCTTTTTTGGGTGAAGCAAAAAAGGTTCTGGCCTCACCAGGCTTGTGGGGCAAGTTAGCTTTCCTTCCCGGATCCTTTTTTTCTCTGAAAGGAAACAATTCTGACCTCTCACAAATTTTATCGTAGTGCTAGTAACAGAGGTCTAAGAAGATTTTGAAACATTGTTGAAAAATTCTATGTGACACAGCGGATCCTTTTTGCAAGGAGCAAAAAAAGGATTGGGAGGCTTCTGGGATCCACAAAACCACTAAAACCACCCCTGCGTTCGGAACACGCGTTCCGGAACGTACGTTTTGCGTTCTGCGTTGTGAACGTGCTAAGCTTTTTACACTTAACATCACTTAACTCACATCAATCGCGTTTCACCCAGTCACCCCAATTTGTTGGAGAGAACAATTCCAGATCATCCGTTAATATGGTGGGTTGTTTGCATTTGCCGATGTTGATACACGGAGACATCTGTTGAACGGACAAAACATCTGTTGAACGGCCGTATATACGAAGACTGTACGCTGGAAGTTATATGAGTTTACAGAATTAGACGAGTTACAACATGTATATAACCCTTCTATAACATGTCTATAACCTGCTTGCAAGTATGTAAAGTGTCATAACATTTGATAAGTAATTTGTAAGTTTAGCTAGCCGGCTACGAGAAGTTGTAAATGTTTAGGTAAAATATAAATGGTTAATGAACTTATCGTAAGTATCTTAACTGCAAGTTTTCTTTTTATAACTATGTTAACAGACTTAACATAAGTATCTAGGAAAAGTTATCATAAGTTATCTGAAAGTTAACAAAAGTTATAAAAAGTTATAAAAAGTTATAAAAAGTTACAAAAAGTTAGTATAAAGTTATAAAGTTATATAAAGTTTAAAATATGTTTACAAGAGGGCAATGAAAATGTTTCTTTATTTTACATTTTTCGAGAGTTTCATTAAGTTTGTGACAAAGCTTGTCAACATTTATACAGGGTGAAAAAAAGGCATATTGCGTGTGCTGCCTGAGTTCTTTGGTTTGATCATTTTAGATTAAACTAAGTATCATATACAAGTACTTCCTGCAAGGGATATGGTCTGCAAAGATACTTCCTGAAAAGGACAGAGTCTGAAGTGATAGTTCCTGAAAGGGAAATAGTCTGGAATGACAGTTCCTGAGAAGGATCCGGTCTGAGAAGACAGTTCCTGAGAAGGATCCGGTCTGAGAAGACAGTTCCTGCAAAGGAAAGAGTCTGAAATGACAATTCCTGAGAAGGATCCGGTCTGAGAAGACAGTTTCTGAAAAGGATTAATTCTTCGATTTTCAACCTTTCCCCTATAAATGTCCCTAGATAGCTATAGTTCAGCTATAGTTCAGCTATAGTTCAGCTATAGTTCAGCTATAGTTCAGCTATAGTTCAGCTATAGTTTAGCTATAGTTCAGCTATAGTTCAGCTATAGTTCAGCTATAGTTCAGCTATAGTTCAGCTATAGTTCAGCTATAGTTCAGCTATAGTTCAGCTATAGTTCCAGCTATAGTTCAGCTATAGTTCAGCTATAGTTCAGCTATAGTTCAGCTATAGTTCAGCTATAGTTCAGCTATAGTTCAGCTATAGTTCAGCTATAGTTCAGCTATAGTTCGCTATAGTTCAGCTATAGTTCAGCTATAGTTCAGCTATAGTTCAGCTATAGTTATAGTTCCGCATAGTTATAGTTCCGCTATAGTTCGCTATAGTTCCGCTATAGTTCCGCTATAGTTCGCTATAGTTCCGCTATAGTTCCGCTATAGTTCCGCTATAGTTCCGCTATAGTTCCGCTATAGTTCCGCTATAGTTCTATAGCTATAGTTCCGCTATAGTTAGTTCTATAGTTCGCTATAGTTCCACTATAGTTCCGCTATAGTTCCGCTATAGTTCCACTATTTCCGCTATAGTTCCGCTATAGTTCAGCTATAGTTCAGCTATAGTTCAGCTATAGTTCAGACAAAAATAGCTATAGTTCAAAGAAAAATAGCTATAGTTCAGACAAAAATAGCAATAGTTCAGATAAAAATGGCTATAGTTCAGAAAAAAAATGGCTATAGTTCAAACAAAAATAGCTATAGTTCAAAAAAAAAGGCTATAGTTCAGGAAAAAAATGGCTATAGTTCAGACAAAAATATTGGTCTTTCAGAAAAAAATGGCTATAGTTCAGACAAAACTAGCTATAGTTCAGAATAAAAGTCGCTATAGTTCAGACAAAACTAGCTATAGTTCAGACAAAAATAGCTAGAGTTCAGACAAAACTAGCTATAGTTCAGACAAAAATAGCTAGAGTTCAGACAAAAATAGCTATAGTTCAGATAAAAATGGCTATAGTTCAGATAAAAAATGGCTATAGTTCAGATAAAAAATGGCTATAGTTCAGATAAAAATAGTTACCTGGAGATAAAAATAGTTACCAGATCCCGAAAGGGAGAGGTTGAAACAACCAAGTCCCGAACGGGATCGTTTTAACAAAATAACGGATCCCGAACGGGAACAGTTGTAACTCAACTTGTTTCCCGATCCAAAAATACAGACAGAGATATCACTAAAAAAAACATCGCCTCAGGTGTCATGATTCCTGAAACATACATAACTGAAACGCTTTCACATCACTTCGTCGATTCAAAAAAAGGATATCATATCTGAAAGTTCTTTCAGAAACAAGACAGTTATAAAATCCACGTGGTCGGAAACCAAGGCAAAGACTTTCAAAAGTATAAAAATATACAAAAAAGTTACAAAAAGTTACAAAAAGTTATGAAAAGTTATAAAAAGTTAGCAGAAGTTATAAAAAGTTAGCAGAAGTTATAAAAAGTTAAGACAAAACTTACAAATAAGTTATTAAAATTAACATAACTTCCTTTTATCTTTTTGATAAGTCATGTTAACTTCCAACATAAATCCTTTAACTTCTGTATACCTAGGCTAAGTCTGTAAAGTCTTATAACTTTAAGCGTGCAGTCTTCGTACCCTCTGGTAAACTAACATAGCCATGGAAAATTGTCATTTATAGTGGGTTTACCCATTAAAAATGGTGATTTTCCATAGCCATGTTAGTTTACTGGAGGGTAATATTGACACCGTCACTGGTATGGTCAGTGAATGTCAGCTGTGGCTGGTGACACATGGCCAGGTTTGTTTCTCGGAGTAGTTACTTGGCACGGTTTCTGAAAGCTCAGGGTGATGGCGGCTATGGCTCAAAGTTGCTGAATTGTTGAAGTGTTTAACTAATGTGTTCATTGATAGTGGCTCCAAACCGGCAGCAAGGGCTGCAGGCACTCATCTATGTTTTTTTCTCGATCTTCATACATATGTTACAGTAATGAAATCCAACATGAACATACTGTTGTTTCTTGATGTATGGTTTCGTTTCAATCTCTTATTTTTGATGGTTTCAACTACGGGCCACATCTTTCTAGCAGCCAAATCCAACATGAAGTGACTAGTGGTGATCGAAACCACCATTTTGTTTGCTGAATGAGAGCTTGCTGCAATGACTATGTGGACTCCCTTTTTCGATTCATTTAAGGAAACAAGAGCAGGACACCATGGATTTTACCAGCCAAAAAAAATCAAAAAAAGATGGAACTTTTCCCACAGCTCTGTTTTCTTTGGCTCCTGCATGAGTTTGACCATGTTCGAGGCATTCAATCATGTTCTAGTCTTGTTTGTCCACAATGGGGAAATATGGGGAATAGCGCCAGTCCACTGGTTCATCATCACATAGAACATGAAATGGCCGTCAACGAGGAGTATTCCCCACTGCCAGACACACCGATTTAGCAATCTCCGAGCATTGCTGAGAAGATCCCCACTGGTGATGTTTTCATTCTTTGGAATCAATGCAAATTATGAAGGCTGTTTTGAGATGCTTTCTTAAACCAAGGACCAGCAACAGACGGATCATGTTATCTCACGTTATCTCTTAATCCTATGTTTGACAGTGGTGTGTTCCTGCTTGCGGTTGTGGCAGTGTCTCATGAACTGCAGCTGCTGAATATTGCTGAATGACCAGGTGAAGATAGCTGTAGACATCGACATAGCTCAACCCTCTTAGAATCTTCTCAAGACATACTTTGTCAAACACCCTACTGTAGATAAGACATGATAAGACGGTCATTCATCATTGCGGCCGCATGTTCAGTTCCATCTCTTTGGCCGAGACTTTATGACCCAGGTTCAACCAGAAACATTTGGCCAGACATGTTGAGCATCAGCTTTGCATGGCCCCGCGACATGTTTGTTTGATTTTGATTTGCAGTGTGCTGGCACATCCAAATGGCCATGTCGGCCCATCATGTTGCGCTTTGGTTGGACCGCTGAGAGTCTATGTCGATGCTTGCCGCGCTTGAAGCGATGCTTTGCTGCAGCATGGCCAGTGAAAGGGGGGCAAGTGTTGTGATTCGATACAGGACAGGGTGGATCTTTAAACGTTCACAACCTCAACAAAATCATGGAGGCCCCTGCAAATTTGCCGCGGCCACGGATGATCACGGATGGTCAAATTGTGGGTTTCGTTGTTGGAGTATCGAAACTGTCGGCCCTTTGGGCCAAGGAATGGTGTTCCTATTGACCTCCACTTTCCTCCAACATACGGGAGGTATGGGTGGACTGCCAGATGACTGACACGAGCCAGTACAAGGTTTATTGCAGATTGTCTGCCACCATGAGATGATATATAATTATGGTTGTTTTTTTTGGGACACCTGGTTTTTGATCGATCGATCAGAGAGAGAGAGAGAGAGAGAAATTATTCTTTCTCTATATGCCTCATGCAGGATGACCAGTTCCCTTTCTCTCTTGTTTCTAGGTGCTACCTCAGTATTAAATTCAATATTAATTCAATACTGTGGTGCTTGTGGTTTACCGCAGCTATATTGATTCTGATCCTTTGGTGCGTAATTATTTGCAATCCCTGGCACCTAGTACTTACACATTGTTGCTTCAACTTTAACACTGAAACATCCGAATTCACTTCTAGGCACCCCAGGTGTTCCCTCATGGCTGGTTGTAAACTCTGCATTTGACGGGATCCCATTCTAGTATCCAACATCAATAGTGGAGTCCAGTAATTGAGTAGTGACTAGTAGCAATCAGGATGCTAAAGCATGATGCGGGATGCAATGTGTTTTTTCGTATCTTGTTGCTTAAAGGAAACCTCAATCACGTCAGGCTCCTGTGGGCTTTGTCCGGGATGAGACATTGGTGATCAATACTTTGAATCGCGAACAGGTCATCAAAGGTGTGCCTGTCGCACATATTGATGCTCGTGGTTGGTTTCAGCAAACCATAGCAAACCTCAATGCCACGCACGGATGGTATGGGTATGTCATTCTCTTCGGAAGAGAATCCCAACCAACTATAACTATAACCAACTTGTTACAAGTTTCTATGTTTTGTGGACTTTTCTGCAATGTACATAATTCCCAACATTCCCAACCCATTTTTGTTCACCTGTTTGTTTGTGTGTGTGTGTGTGTTTTTTTCTCGTGTTTTATTTGGCTCAGCCAACCAGGACGAAAGTGGTCATGGCGTGGTCCATATCCACGTTCGCAAAGATAAAGAGACCTTTCAGTTTTCCTATCCGCGCGCCCTACCGGGAGAGAAGCTGAACCTTGTGGTGCGTTCAGTCAAGAAGGACAAATTCAAAAAGAAGGAGGCAGGTGTCTTGGTGATGACATCCTCTCGGGAAGCTTTGGGAAGTTTTTTTTTCTCTTTGTTTGCTTCCAGTGGGCACATATAAAGCATGTAGACATAGCCCAAAAGAATCCAAAAGAAAGTATGCGCACAAGCCTTGAAACAACTGTTGAACGCTTCTCCCCAGTGAACTCACTGGGTAGGAATTTGCCCTGGGTTACTTCTCTTGGTGAATTTACATACAAGTTTTTATAGGAAAGTTTCCATTGGTTTCTTGCCAATGTATATATGCATGTTTCCTTCATCCAATGCTGGATTTCCCGTTCATGTCTGGAATTTGGACATCCCAAGGTCGGTATCGCTTGGCCATCAACGAACGCTGCTCCGCGTCGGTGAATGAAGTGACACCGCGGTGCCAGCATTTTTCGGAGAAGTGCGGGGGATGTGCGTTTCAAAACTTGCAGCTTGCTTTAAGAAAACCTCAGTCGCCAAGTTTCTGTTGGAGGGCCCTTGGCGGGCCCTTGGAGGGCCCTTGGAGGGCTCGCGGAATGGGGGGGAGTCATCTCTAGAATTGCATGTCAGGTTTGTATAGCTTTGTTTTATAATAAGATATACTAATAAAAAAAGCGTATAGATGAGAATAATGAAATGAAATGTATCTCTCCACATCATAATATAAGATTATATATAGAAGTATGGATGGCACTGGATGACTATAGACTATGGACAACTATCAGTGAGTGAGAGAGAAAGATAGTAATCATAAGTATCCTGGTATTGAGCTGGATGGTGCCAACCAAGAAGAAAGTGACCCTTGTCACCAGTAGTCGCCCCGATACCTCAAGGCACAATGTACGCATGCTTTTGGTCAGCAACATGACCTTGATAAGATGCTATCGTAGCATACGTTTTCTCAGTTTTCTCTGCAGAACTGTACGTTTTAAGTTTTGTGCTTCCATGCTCACGGGTTACCAGAAGCCAACGCTGACTTTACAGCCAGTGCTGGACAACGTTCTATGGCTCCGGCCCTACTTCTGTTTTTTGCGTGTTCCTCTAGCGGTGCATCACTATGACATCAAGCAGATTGAAAATAGATTCCAACATGCGTGTCTACACCCACAGGCACACTATATATTGTTCAAGCCGGCCATTTTCAATGAAGCACGTGATTGGGGTTTCCTATCGATCCAGCTGACTGGGAGAAGGTGGTAAAAATCGCAAGGTTTACAGGGCCAGACATGGGTTTGTCCGAAAATGGAAGGTTTACCCTCTGGTTAATTATTTAGCATAGCCATGTTATAGATGGCCCATTTATAGATGGTTTACCTATTAAAAATGGTGATTTTCCATGGCTATGTTAGTCATAACATGTCATAACCAGATGGTAACATGATTTATCCCCCGAATTGGGGAAAATGAGTTTCCAGCGTCACTGGACCAGTGGGGTTCCCCTAAGATTTCAGACAAAGCCACAATGGATATGTCCAAATTGCTACATCCTACAATATCCTACAATATCCTACAGTTGAAGCCCTTTACCAGTTATAAGTCATGGAAATTAAGACCCCATTTATTTCATGATAGCCTAGCCTGGGAAAAAACACCTCAAATCACTGTGGTATTTCTAGGGATCCTTTCGTAGTCCCATCATCCAGGAAGTACGAAGCCCAGCTCTGGGAGAAGTTCGGACTGCTGCAGATGCGACTGAAGGAGTACGACCTGAAGCCCAAGGTTTTGTGGCCACCAGAGAAGTCCAATGAGACCTGGAATGACCTGGAAGTTAAGGGATTGGAAGAATGGGGGAGGCTATAAGTTTACTATAGCCGGGACGATTATGTATGAGAGAGAAATATGTGTATTCTGCATATATATTGTATATATATATATGTATACTTAGACGCTGCAAGTACCATCAAGTACCTATGCAAATGGGAACATGTACTTAAAATATGGGGAATAACATATATGATAAATGGTATAACATGCTGATTTTTTACGGGTGTTGGAGAGTCACGGAGAGTCTAGGTATTCTTTTTGCATTTGATATGTGTATTCAACATGATATAGCGCAACCTAGTCAAGATACATTTACTGCCTTGTAATGGGAACGTGTTTGGAGATGCTCCTGACTTGTGGCAGTTGTGTGTGGGGGGTTCAAAAGCTGAAGGAAGCCTATGGTTGGCATGCGCGCACGGAATTCCGCTTCTTCTTGCGGGAGGGTTTGCAACTGGGCCTCCACCCAGAAGGAAGCCCCGTGCCTCTAGCCCTATCGAAATGTCTTTTGGCTGAGCTGACAGGGGTAGTTTGTAACGGGCCCCAAGTTGAAGGCCACAGATTCTGAGTCCGTAGTCCGGTCCTTCTTTGGTATTGAACCGTCATGATCCACCAAGATGGAGCTTTTCTCCTAGTTTCACCGGGGAATAGTGGGGAGACAAGCATAGCTAGCGTCTCCACATGAGAGTCACTCATTTCTATTACATCCCCACGGGTCGCCACGGTCGTCTCTGAAATACACGGTATATCCGGGTGCCATTTCTCGGCGCTGGGGGATCACACTCTTTGCTCTAGCAGTTCCGCATAGCTGCACTATCCCCAGTGGAAGTAAGCTTGGGACCAATGACACATCTGACAGTCCTGCGGTCGAAATGAGGTCATTTGCATCCCAACGCCGCTCATGAGGTCTTTCAGGCCAGGGGAAGGTCTCATTGGATCGGTGAAAGGGAACTTTTTTATGGGAAATCCCGATTTTCTGCAGGGGTAAACCACGGGAATAACTGGGATGTGACAGATCTAGACAGGCTCATGCTTCAGGACTCAGGACATATCGGGACGGATACCACTGATAGTGTACATTTTCTAAGGTGCCTTCAGCTGTTGTTTCGTACATGGGTTACAAGTCTCTTTGTATGTGAAAAATGTGGATTATTGTCAAACATTCCGAATGTATTGCACTAACTAACTAACGTTCAGGACAGTCCTGATGCTTTTGGTAGTAATCCTGTTTGAAGACTGAACACCGTCCAAGCCATTGATTTGGGACTGAGAAGCCTTCTTTCCGATCGCTTGGTCCCGCCCACCAGATACTTGAATGGAGCCTTAAATGATGTTTGGGAGCGGAAATGATCTCCCACATTCTCTTGCATTAGATTCATGTAATAAATATATATATATATAAATTAATTAAAGTATTGTAACATTTGTAACTTGCTATTGCAACTTGCCCGGGTGTTTGTTCATCGACACAGTCAGTTTCTTCATCTGGCGCTTTGAAGAAAGCCAGCAGTTGCAAGGCCATTTTGGCAGCTGCTCGAGCCGAGAAGTGCGTCAGTTGGGATGAACGCACCGGAAGGGGCTGGCTCTGTCAGCTGGTCCTGCGTTCTTCGCGACCGAAAGCAACAACCGATGACGTTGAGGCCGGCGTGTCACACGTGGCGCTGTTAAAGTTGGGAAGGCTAAAACACCACCCCAACGGCGACTGGAAGTATTAGTGACCATGGCACATGGATGTTGTATCATATATGAGCTTATACAATTGTATACTCTCAGCTCTTTGAAATGTTCCCTGCAACCCCCTGGTTCGCCCACACTCAAACAACACATCCAAACAATATGATATACTTGTCACCAGAGGATGAATGAAAACACTGGCTATACGCAGTGATTTTGACTTTAAGTTTTCATAAGTTTTCAGGATTTAGGGTGTTAATTTAGGGTTTAGGGTTTTAGGTTTTAGGGTTTTAGGGTTTTGGTGTTTGTTGTTTTGAAAAGCAAAAACTTGAACCCTGCGCAGGGATTTGAGCATGTCAAAAGATATGCGGGATTGGCCGCGGGCAAACCTAGGGTTGCAGCGGAAATGTTTAATGCCGACGTCATGAACTTTGGGGAGTAAATGCTTGGCATGGCCAAAGTTCGAGGTTTGATGCTATGGAAGATTGAGATGGGAACAAGCAAAACTAACTTCTTGTAGGTGAGACAGACTTGGGTTACTATCCTTTGTTTTTGATGCCGGCAACTCATATATATATATTTATTTATTTATTTATTTATTTGTTTATTTAAGTTGTACACTTTTTCATCACATCCCTTAGTGTGAATCAATGATATATAAACCCAAGTCACTCATTTTTTATTTTGTTCAAGGTTTGCCAATTTATATATATATATATATGTTCATTATAGGTATTTCCAACCACTCTGGATGTACAACACTGAGCTTTCAATGCGCTTTCAATGCGCTTTGCATCTCTGTTGGGCATGCGGCATGCGGGATGGGGACACGAAGGTGCTGGCCACTCTGGTCACAGTGGAGGAGGCTCCCAGAGACATCTTGGACCGGGTGGCCGCGGTGGCCATGAAAACTCTTCCGCAGCTTGTGGGAGTGACGTGGTCCAAGGAGCGAGCGCCGTGATTTTCACATATTTTCACTGATGTTGGGGAAAAAACATGCAAAAACTGGGTAAACTTGGAATGGCACCACATGAAATCAAGGAGTTAAGCAGACTTTTGGGTTCAGAGATTCACCAGAAGCTGCAAGAAATCAATCTCATTTTTAATCCACATTCAAACCACCTTCAGTTCCTTGCTTCAGTTCGAGCCTTCAGTCTCAGCAGAATTCGCAGGAGGGTGGGGAAACTACGGTGCAAAGTCCAAGCTGGCGCAGCTTTGGTTTGCGACCTCAAGAGCTTCTGGCTGGAAGGCCATTCTTACTGTGCGACCTGATGGAAACTGAGCTGAAAAGTCCACACCCTGGTCTACTGTAATCATGGGAATGGCCATCCACATGCCATCAACATTTATAGGCAAATCAAGTTCATGTACAACTGATAGATTGACCACACACATGTTGATACTTTGGGTGTTCCAGTGAATATGCAACAGTAGTTATAGGGTTTAAGTTTATATGAACATTGAACATATGTGAATATATATATATATATTATACATAGTTTATCTTTCCCCCTCTCTCTCTCTCTCTCAACTTTTGGTGGTTACTCGTAGTTATTATTATAACCAGTCATAATCCCAACTGCTCCCAAGTGCGTTTGCTGTCACGACTCTCACGTGGTATCGCCTGGTTGTGGCCGGCGCAGAAAAAGCACTTCTTTAATGTCACCATGTCACTGAAACCAAACAAAGATTATTCAACCAATACTGTATCAGCCAATTATTTAGAAGTTCCAAGTGACATGATGTGAGTGATTAGCATTAGCCATTTGTTAACTTAGTCATTTGTTAATTGGTACTATTAGCCATTTATTAACCATATGAAATTGTTGATACCAACCATATGTCAACTAATAGTAGGCATCATAAGCAACCATGACATGATTGAGCTGGGCGACAAAAGCTCCCCACCACCATAAATTAACCATTAGCACCTTTTTCCAACCACATATTCAATCACCATAAACTCAGAACTTCAACTACCCTCTGGTTATTTAACATAGCCATGGAAAATGGCCCATTTATAGATGGTTTACCTATTAAAAATGATGATTTTCCATGGCTATGTTAGTCATAACCAGATGGTAACCACAACATGGTATCATGGGCTCCATCCGCCTACAGCGGCCCTGGCGCTGCCTGGCGCTTTTGCATCCCCAGGGCCTGCAGCTGAAGCTGTCGCCGGAGGCCTTTTTTCGGCCCAACCTTTTCCTGACCGACGCGGTGCTCGGGCAGGTGCTGGAGATGGCACAACTGGACGCGGAGACGGAAGCGTCGGAGGTGCTGTGGGATGCTGGGTTGCACCATGGAAAATAATCATAGTGATATATATATATATATACACATTATTATTACTATTATTATTACTATTATTATTATATATTTCTATTCTATATATATATATCATATATATATATATATACATATATGTATGTATGTATGTAATGCAATGTAATGCTATGTAATGCAATGCAATGCAATCAATGAAAATGTAATGTAATGTAATGTAGTGTTATGTTATGTTATGTTATGTTATGTTATGTATAGTGAGTGTATAGTGACCTATTCATTATTTTTGGGAGCCGAGATTGATCGTGTTATTGTTCGTGATGTATTCAGTGAATATTTGATGTGGGTGTGTCTGAAAATGGGAGGTATTTACACCCCAAATGGTAATTTTAAGAGGGATTATGTTTTTCCCTCCAGAAGAATCATGGATTTGAGTTAGGTCATGTTTGGCCCCAAGAATTGTCGTGTTCAATGGAGAACACGAGAATTAATCATTAACTTTGACAAACACATGTGTTTCGACTTTGACAAACACATGTGTTTTGTTTGGGCCATGGTGTTTCAGTAATCATGCTGAACTTGTGGTTATCATGTATCACTGCTGACTGCATTCCTTCCCATTTGCTTTTTCTTAGCCATAACCGTTATGTCATAATCATAATCGTCATAATCATCATCATCATCATCACCATCATCATCATCATCATAATTATCATATATTATCCTCATGATCCTCATCCTTATCCTCATCCTTATCCTCATCCGTTCACTTGAAATCCCCAATGTGGACTCCGAAAAACATCTAGACATGAGAGATTCCCAATTCTCAACTTTGTCTACTCCCATGTCTCGGGAAGGACATGAGCATTGGTTTTGAATGGTCCTTTTCTTAGTGCTGTCTGGTGCTTGTCAGATGTGTTGATCATTTGCTGCTTCACATGACATGACGTTTGGGTCAAAGTGAAAGAACCTGGTCTGGTTGGTGGTTTGGAACATTTTCTATTTTTCCATATATTGGGAATAATAATTCCAACTGACTAATATTTTTCAGAGGGGTGATGGGAGGCTTAGCCAAAGAAGCAGCACGGTTGCACATCCGAGCACTCGTTGTGGCACATTTCTTTTCAGGTTTCCGGCGTGACCGTGACATTCATCAAATTGTCGAACAGCACAACCTGGAACAGGCCACTCAGCTCTTTGTGCTGTCAGTAGATCTATGCATGCAACGGCAGCATGCAGACCTTGCCACGCACAAGGCGCTCCAGTGGTGGAAGCAACGTGCCAAATCAGGGCAGCTAGTCTCCATTGGGGGCGGCCCACCTTGCGAGACGTATACTGCCGCAAGGCAAAATGACGGTCTCGGCCCGAGACCTGTTCGTTCGGCTGCACATCCCCAGGGCCTACCAGGGCTCACGTGGAAAGAATGGAAACAGATCCACATAGGGGACCGCCTCTTACGCTTCATCCTAGAGATGCTCCTCCTGATGTCCATCATGGGCTACAGTGGCTTTATCGAACATCCTCAGTTTCCGACGTGGGAAACCAACCGCAGCCTAACCAGTATTTGGTGTCTGAAGGTGATCCGGTTGATGAAAAGGCTCATGTGTGTCAGCCTGGTTTCATTCGATCAGTGCGTCTGTGGCGCGGCAGGGCGCAAACCGACCACGCTCCTGCTTGTGCGATTGCCAGCAGTCAGGCACCGACTGCTTCAGCTGGGCAATTCTGGTCGTTGTCATCACCATGCGGGAGCACACCAAGCACTGATAGGGAAACAAGAGGACGGCTCTTTCCAGACGGCAAAAGCCAAGATCTATCCACCCCTCATGAACGAGATCATCGGAAAGGCCATGCACGATTTTGCCCTGGGTATGAAACACCCAGATGTAGACAAGGAGCTCCCCAAAGAATTTGAGGTGTACACAGTGCAGCAGTTCATGGACCACACAGTCGTCCAACCCAATTATCACGGGTTCTGAGAACTGAACTGCCAGTTGTACACCGACACTGCCATGCACGGAGACCGAGTGCCAACACGGCACAGCAGCAGGAAAGGAAAAAGGGGTTGAAACCACCAACCAGTGGTAATGTTGGATGTTGATTAGTGGATGCCCGCCCCTTCCACTGATCAATGTGCAAGAGAATTGCACCAACATCCCGTTGAGTTGTGCCCAACTCTGGATCCTTTCGGTCTTGAGGTACCTATGATTTCGAGCCACAACCATCCTAAAATCCGGACCACATCTGAGAATTAGTGCTACATATTTACCTAGATTTCGGCCATTTTCTTCATTGGCTCAGTATAATTGTAAATGGTCTTTTGGAGATTTCGGCGCATCCGTCCGTGGGCCAGAATTTTGGATCTGATTCAGGACACCTTCTGCGGTCAAGGTTTGTTCACCTTGGCCTTTCGACATCGTCATCCACAGCTTCGGGTGGTGTCAATCGATCGCTCTGGCCCTGCGCTGCAGCAGTTGCAGCTCAACTTGGACAACCACGGACTGGAGGATGTGGATGTCGTGCAAGGTGGGGAGCTACTGCGAAAGGATGGCTATTATATTGAGGTCCTCCTAGTGATATGGAGATATGGAATGATATGGAAAGGTTTGATGGATATATGTTAGATGTTAAGTGATGTGTGTAACAAATTATTCACAGATGTATCAATGTATATACTGCAACTATATATATATATATATAGGATGTAGATGCATCAAATCTATTGATTACTGGAATTGGGTTTGCACCCTCATACCTGTCATACCTATTTGCCTATTACACAGCTTTTTGTGACCCTCAATGCGCATCCGGTTGTTGAAATGCCCCAGTTTGGTCGTTGTGGGCCACTTAAACATCTGAAACCCTGGAGGCGATTTGGGGGTTCCAGCCTTCCTGCACAGATTGACTGCAGCTTCCGACCTGGAAACTTCTGTAGTGGGTACCGGTGGCTGAATCAGAGACGAATCGAGTTGGGCGAAGGGGGGATGGTCATGGCCCCAAATCACGTGATCTCACTTGATCTTGAAAGGCCTGTTGACATTTGTTGACCGCTTGAAAAAAAATTGCATCTCAACATATCTCAACGGTTTTGGTCACGAAGTTGTCTTGGGGCATGTGGCGACAATTTTTCTACAGGTGTTTTGTGGCATTTCCGCATCTTTGGGTGGTTAAAAACTCATGTTTTACCCTCTGGTAAATTAACAGTTGGACCCTGAAAATACCCCTTTTTTTTAATGGAAACTAATCTGAACCAACCCCGATGACTGCCAGGGTCTATGTTAATTGACCAGAGGGTAATGATTGAGTAGTGATTACGTCCCACCAGCGGTGATTTTCAATGGAAGAAGATAAGCATCAGGAAACGTCCAGAAACCGCAAGGCTTCTTAAATCACCCATCCTTCTATATAAATGGTAGATCAATAACCCTTGGTCTGCAACTTTCTATTTCCCCATTGGTTAAACCCACCATGGGAAGACCAGCTGTTTCCAGGGGAAGCTGCTGAGAACGAATCTGAAGATGAACCGGAGGAGGCTGAAGCCCTTGGCCGAGTGCACGAGAGCTTGCCCGAGACCCTGCCGGCACCAAGAAGTTTGGATGTGAATTAGTCAACGTTTCTGCTGCTGGGGTCCGTAAATGTTATTTTTTACGTTTGTTGGTGTATAAATCTGTATAAGTCCCATAATACTGTAGTTATAGTTATAAGATTATAAGTATCATAAACATTCACAAACCATAGTTATTGGAATTGCTCTCAAACTTAAGTAAGACTTTGCCATCGTTTGGCCCCCACTTTTTCTGGTGATATGTTCAATATCGATGGAGCCGGCACTGTTACAGTAATATTGATATGTTTTGTTTCACAACCGCTGGTTTCTATATCATGTTGGCAAATTAGGGTGATCAAGTTTGTATGCGTGTGTGTGTGTGTGTTTGTTTTGGGGGAAATTGCAACCTTAACCTTAATGTGGAATCATGATATGAAATACCTGGCGTTACTCAGGCTGGTTTGAAGCCACTATATAGCCAGAGATTTCCAGTCCCAGGTATTAATATGGTGACTGTGCTGGGTCAGATCTTATTGTTGTTACCATGTTTGCCAAGAATCAGTAGTACTAATGTCAAGTTAGGATTAATAATCCCCGCGGTATTAATCAACCCCCTCTGCCCATTTTTTTTGTAATTTAAAAAGAGGTGGTCCCCCAGGATTAATAAACCGTTTGGCTGGGACATGATTAATCAACCCCCTGTGCTGAAATCCATTTTTTATCCAACAATTTTTATTTCCACTTCTATTTATTTCCAATTGTTTTTTTACTTTTTTTTATTATCATTGTTATACTTAAGGTTTGAGTTGATCATTGAAAATTTCAAAAAACAACTATTCCCCAAATGATTGATTTCTAATTAAAGTCTTTATAAAAATCATCAGTTTGGATAGCTCCCAAAGGGTACCCCCCATGAGCCCATGTCCCCCATTAATAATAACCACGGTTTGCCCCTGATTAATCAACCACCTTTCTGATCCATGAGATTTTAACAAATCCAATGGAATTCTATTCTATTAAGATCTAATTGACGTAAGCCATATCCAAATTTTTATGGTTCAGAGTTGCTTATATTATTAAGGGGTGGTCAAGAAAACTAGCCAGAAGGTCCTTCTTACCTACCTGGGGGTGGGGTTGATTAATCCGATGTTGCCATTACCCGAATTTGTCGGACAAAAGAAAGCACAGGATCGAAGCCATTGTTGTAATTCTCAGCCTTCTATTTTTTGGTTCTTAAAATCGCCTGAATTTTGTGCCTCCCAGGTATCTTGTTGGCAGACCCTGGGCGCAATGGAATGCCGAAGGCTTTCAGGAGAGGGGGATCTCAACAGACGTCTCCATTTTTGGGGATTTTTTGCTTGCAAACCCCAGCCATAGAAAGGTTGGAAACCTGGAAAGTATGGAGGAAAGATAGATATAATTAAACTTAATCAATCTATAAATAAGATCCTGGAAATACTTGATTGGCTTTTGTTTGGGGGGGTTACGGTTACTATACCTTCCGTGAAGTTGCGGATGATTGGTTATAGATAGATAGTCAGCGGCTATTGCAGGCTATTGGTTGGTCTCAAAACTTCCCAAAGCAGGGAGACACATATTCTGAAAGGTCCTTGAACATTTTTTAAATGAGGCACTCCCAATTCCAATGGATTATCATCACAACAACCCATTGAAGTGGCCTTTTTGGAGTACTGTATGAAATTGAGATCCAAATATCATATTGTTGGCTTGCCAGATAGATAGATAGACAGACAGATAGATAGATTGATAGATAGCTCATATGGCACAGATTAACACAGCATATGCTAGTATATACCATTATTATATCTTATTATTATGATTGATATCCTATGTTATCCTCATCGCAGTGGGTTTAACACCCCATAGCTTTGCGGGTGAAATCATTTCATCCCGTTGTTCAAAAATCGCCAAGTCAGGGCAATGGCAGGAGGCAGCTGCTCGAGCTAAAGGTGCCAAAGTTATTGTACATCAGCAGCGGCAGGGCCTTCTTGAGGGATGTGGCATATTTGACCACGAAACGTGGCTATCGCTTGCAGGACACTGGGCGATTTTCTCGCACGGATGATTTGGGATGATGAAAAGTGTTTATATCATTAAGAAAAGGTTGGGGTCTAGATCCAAGGGGGTTAGTTATATACTGATTAATTGCCATTAAGATGATCCAAGGGGGTTAGTTATATAATTTCTTTTAGATTAAATCCGTTAGCCAAACAGAAAAAGCAATACGCGTCATAGGGACAAGCCGGACAAGCCAAGCGCTGGCATTGCATCAAGGCCACAGCCCCACCCCGGTGTCATCAAACATAGCCATTGAAAATCCCTTATAAAAAATGGAGGTTTCAATGGGTATCTATAAATGGGGGTTTCCATTACCATGTTTGATTACGGGACCTAAAAATAAGCATCCCATTACCAAACAGAACAAAGAAATCCATAGCCAAATCCATTTTTCAATCCCGTTTCTTTGGTATTCAATTATTCCATTTGTTATTACTATTTTTGGGGGAGATCATGATCCTAAGGTCACCGGTTCACAATGGTTCACAACATGCCGCGCCAAGGATGTGCGATGTTTTGATTTGCAACCACATACGGCAAAGTTTGAAGTTGCGGCGTCCATGGTGTGGAAAGGCTTCAGCTGAGATAAAAAGACCGCAGCGCTGACCCCATGGGTGTCGTGGAATGGGATGGAATGGATAGATGTGGGGTATTTGCAAATCTATTTTTGGGTCTTTTTGGGGACTACCAAGGAAAATCAAATCAAAGAAAGAGTTATGATATAAACTATGTTCAATTTGATATATATATATATAGATAATTATATATATATACACACATATGTATATATATATATCGGGTTTCTCCAGGTCTCACATTGCTTGCTGGCTACTTCATTAATCCGTGTCATCTCCGTCCTGCATGGCTCCGAGGCTTGTCCATTGCACTTGGGGTGTTGGTTTCTCTTTCACGGCAGCTTCTCCTTCCACCTCTTGGCGCTGGGTTTGATGCACTGTTTCGGTCTCTCGGCAGGGTAGCGGGATCGCCGAAAATGGCCAGGCTTTGGACCCAAAAAATGGCCCCAAACTGCCTAAGTTAGGAGAGTGGGAGGGAGGGTAGCATTTCGCAAGCATGGACTCACTGTTAAGTGCTGGGAACAGTCTAGACGTTGTTCTCTGAATCTGTAACCTTAAACCTCTACCTGAGTGATTTTAAAACAGGTATCTACCACTCACCGGGATGCACATTCGAATGTGCAGTGCCCAATCTACCAACTGGCAGATGATTATAGTGGTTTTGCTGCCTATATATGGGAATTGCAAATACAAAGCAGCCTGTGTAATACAATGGGATGACTGATGCCCTGGCTGGTCATTTAACATGGCTGGCTGGACAATCCAACCCAGAAAACACCGAAAAATCACTAGCTCGCCAGGTTAAGTTACTGGAGGGTACCAGCAGTCGACATTGCACCAATTTGTAACCACCATACCACAAATTGGGATTGTTAACATCCATGGGGGGCACACCTAAAAGTCAGCCATTCGACGAAAACACTTGATGATAAATATATACATACCAAGTAGAAAAAATTATGGTATCATTTGGCATGGGGGGAGCACCGAAAAGTCAGCCATACAGAAAACAGATGATATTTCAATATATATATATAATCACTTCCCATAATACTAAACACCTCCTAGAAACCATAATTTGGTACGGGATCGATACTTATTTGGGACCATCTATGGGCTGTTTAATTTTAGGGGATGGGATCATAATGCATGTTTCTTCTATCATTATCATTACTAGTAATTAAATATAGTGGTTTCATTATCAATACCACTAGCACTAGCACTAGCACTATCATCATCATAATCATCATCATCATCCTCATCCTCATCATCCTCATCATCCTCGTCATCATCATCACCACCACCAGCATCATCATCATCATCATCGTCATCATCATCATCACCATCATCCTCATCATCATCCTCATCCTCATCATCCTCGTCATCATCACCACCACCAGCATCATCATCATCATCATCAACATCATCACCATCATCATCATCATCATCCTCATCCTCCTCCTCCTCATCGTCATCGTCGTCGTCATTTTATTCTTCACCGTCATTATCATTAAGATCTATTACCATTACTATCACGATGAATACTATTGCTGTAGCTAATAGTAGCTATAATTATTTTCATGACTATAGACTATAGAGGCTATATTTCCACAACTACAACTACAACTATTACTTACTGGTGCTTAGCAATGGATGAGGATGGGCGTTGCTGGGATGATTATTACTAGTGATTGTGGATCATTCCCTCATTCCCTGCTAAGCACAAGTAAGTTATTTCTATGGCACAGAAACGTCAGGTGCTCTTATGGTCTACTTATTGGTTGAGGAGGCCGAGCTCGAGCACCTCGCTTCGGTCAGCCATGGCTTGGATATCGTCCTAAAAGTTGCCATGAAATCCTAGCAAGTCCATGGGAAAATATGGGAAAACCACGGGAAAATGTGGGAAATTCCACTGATGGAGAGTGTTGAATGGGAAAACCATAGGGAAATATGGGTAAAATTGGGAAATCCCTTATGAATGGAGGTTTCTAGCTGGTAAAATCATGGAACTATAGCGTTTTTTTTTTAGCACGCCATGTTTGATATTGTTTGATGACACCGGAAGGAAGGTCGATTTGCCAACAAAACAGGCATTTAGCCAGGAATCATGTATTTACCAGCAACAATGAGCAGGTATCTCCGGTGTGGTTAGATGTGTTTTGTTCTTGCTATTTGGCGGATTTTGAGGGCATACTTGTTTAAAGTGTATTTTAACTATCCTGCCCCCAAAAAAGGAAAATAACTTTTGGACAGGGCATCCCAGATTTTGCAATGAATAAATCATTGAATGACACACAATTTTTCCTAGAGGACAAATATAGATGTGTATATATGTACGTCTGTGCATTTACATACATAGCGCGAACCATTATATATGAGCAGGGACCCCCACACCCCCCCCAGCCAGATGGTTCCCCCCCCCTGTGGCAGGGGAAATGGGTTTTCTCAGTGTGCCAGCAATGTCCAAGGTACTGCGTGAGCAGCACTGGTGAGTATACATAGAAATCATCGTGTATGTAGTCTTTATAGTGCATATAGTGCATATGTATCGATAATTAGAATGGATATACTATATGCAATATAGAGTGTATGTGTGGTGCAAATATATATATATATATTATATGTAAGATATAAATAGAATATATGCAATATATGACATATATATATATATATATATATATTGAACACACACACATATATATATATATCGTATATGTGGATTTTGATAGAATATAGATAGTATATGCCACATGTACTGTATCCACAGTAGATGTAATATATACAATATAGGTAAATATGTTCGTTGAATAAATTGTACATAGTATATGTGGTATATTGAATATCGACAGCAATACACGCTGTATATCTAGAATTTATGTATATATATATATGTACATATATATATATATATACGTGTACAGTATGTACAATGTAAACGAAATATGTGATAGATACAAGATCAAGATATCAATATGTAGTATCTAGAATGTGCATATATATATATATTGTTTTCCCGCGGAACATATGTCTAGGTTTGCATAGGTAAGCTTTGCGTAATCCATAGGTAGCAAATATGTTGTAAACCATGTGCGAAAAAAAGGTTTTGATAGAAATATACAGGTAGACAAGGTCCGTTGACGAGGTCGTGGGCCTCAAGTGCTGCAAATAACGTAGAGATGCGAGGTTGGAGGGGTGGAAAGGGGAGTATATATGTGTATAGTATATATGTGTATATGTGTATGTATATGTGCAAATAACATGCAAATACTAGGTTTTGGGGGGGTGGGGGGGGTTAGGAGTGGGGGGGGGATACCATTGGGGGGGGTGGTGTGGGGGTCCGGGGACCGGGCTCATATATATATATATATATATATATGTCATATATATATATATACATATATATATATATACATATACATATATACATATATGTAATGTAATGTCATGTCATGTCATGTCATGTCATGTAATGTAATGTATGTATGTATGTATATATTTTTGTTTATAGACATATACTGCATACTATATATATATATATATACATGTATATGTGTGTGTAATATATTATTGATATATGTGAATTTATATATGATATATTTATCGTTGCATATGCATATATAGTAGAATATGTGTGTGTTCATGTATCTATATGTTTCCTCCAAAGCACTGAACAGAACCCCATGAACAAACCATAACAACCCCTTTAAGACAGACTAAAACTACCAAACCACCTACTCCATGAGACCAGGATGATTTTAGTGATGTCAATCATTTGGGCCGAACAAAACGAGGAACTTCAACGTGCTGCGAAAGCTGACCCTTGAGCAGAAGTACATGGAGACGATGCATAGCTCCCTACAAGGCGAGGATGGGGCCATGAAGGCTGGGGGTTGATTGAACATGCCGGGGGAGAAACGCGCAAAAACACACATTCAAAACTCTGAAATCCAGTTGTTTATCATCAGTTTCAGTATTATGCAGATGTGTACCCCATATGAGTTGTTCTTTGCTGCATTTCTGTCTCTGCGCGCTGAAAAACATGATGATATCAATTATGTCCAATTATATCCCAATTGTAGTCACCGGCTTTTCCATGTTTGTATCATAGAATTGGATGATGGGAAAATTTACAGGAAACCCCAACCAATTTGATGGTAAAAACCATGGTTTCCTGTAGATTTTCCCTTAAACCAATCCATGGTTTGTATGGCTACCTGTGTTTCGTATTTTGGCAACGTGCGTCCGACTGTGTGTCCCATTGCTGGGTGTCCTGGCCTGCGACAGCATCAGGCATGCTGTCGAGCATTTTCGAAGCTTGGGCGGGTGGCAGCAGATAGACCGATGAAATTTGATGAAATATTGATCCACCAATACCCTCTGGTAAACTAACATAGCGAACTGGAAAGATCCACCATTTTTCATGGGTAAATCCACTATAAATGGTGATTTTCAATAGCTATGTTAAATTACCAGAGGGTAAACTTAAATACAGGTTCCTATGCTGACTTTGGCTGTAAGATTTTCAGGCCATGGGGCCATGGCAGGTACATACATCGGATTAGTTCAATTTATTTCAATTTCAAGCATATGTTATGAACCAGTGGGTCTAAGCATTTTTCAACTTGCCAGTTGATGGTTTCCAAGATGTTCTTATCCAGCTCCGAGAAAATGGTCAGAGACTTGTTTGTCCTTTTCTTTTTGTTTCGGGGGAATCTGGAACCACTAGCAGGATCATATGATGTTGGACCTCAGGTTGTTGTGTGACCCAACGGTGCTGCAAGTTCAGCACCCTGACTGTGTGTTTTGGGTTGTGGCAGTTGTGGCGGTTGTGGCGGTTGTGGTTCTGTTGAGTGCTGGGGGAGGGCTTCTTTCTACCGTTACCGAGCCTCAGGATGCCTCTTGCATTTGACCCTTGGTTGAAGAGAAGGGCTGGGTTCAGTCGGCAGGTTTTTTCTTGCCCTTAATATCTTAAAACAGAGGCATTGCTCACTGAGTTTCATGGTTTGTTAGTTTCCGCGTGTTTTGCATTAGCAGAAAATAATGAAGAGCCACGTGCTTTCGGCATTTTTCCACGGACAATTATTCAGCCTTATAAACTCAACACATCTAGTCTAATCCAATCTAATGCCCTGATTTTAGGTACTTTTACCATTTTGTTGGGTTATTTGCAGGGTCTAGGTATGTGCATGCATATTATACTAAATTATATTATGTATATATTATATATATATATATTATTTTTACCTGTGGTTGACATATATCAGTTGGTTCCTCTGCAAAAGATTCAGGAACAGACATGGCATATCATGCCACCATCAGCGATGCCCCAGGTAACGAAGAGGGCGACATTCGCTGCTGGGCACAGTCTCCACATCGAAACGACGAAGCCGAGACCCGGGCCCAGGTGATGTTTTTACTGTTCTTCGTTAAAAATTGTGAGTAACCGAAACATAGTAAGATATAGTCGTTGATATTTCCAAAACAAAACTGATCGTTTGAAGATACCTGCGAAGACCGCACATGTCATTTTAGAGCATATCCGTACTGTAGATATCGTTTAAAATCAATGGACACCTGCACGTAAGATTTGAATCGTGGGTTTGGAGTGATTTGGTCAAGCCGCATAAGCCGCCAAAAGCAGGGGAGTCTGGAAAAACAATGGCGAATGGCCCTGGGGAATGTCCACTTTGCTACACGCCTTGAATTCAGTTCCAAGCTATTTGTCCATCTTTGTTGGGTTTGACCGGTTTTGACTTTTTATCATGTTTCTATGGTGAAAAAAATGATGAAATGGTTGGGTGGTTTAGTACTGTAATTGTTTGCCATTCTGGTATGGATTTGCACTATCACCCTTTGGTCAGTGCTATTAGCTTCGTTTTCCGGGCAGAATGCAACGTTTGTTCCACTATTCGACTATGATCTAAAATCGTGATGACGGCTTTTCCTGTAAAAAAAACAAGGTTCCTTTATGTTCCCAACGGGAAATCCACTACATAGGGAATATATTGCGACTATTATTATATATTACACTAAAGACTATATTATATATTATATTTTGTTTATTATCATATATATATAAATATTATGTTATTATTTATCATATTTATATATTGATATAAATATGTATATTATTTAAATATAACATATATATATATATAATATTGTGTATAGTATGTATTCAAACACATATATACACATATTTTTTACATAATATTATATGTATATATATTTATGGATTCAAACACGCACACACACACAAATATGCTGTATACATAAATATTATATAAAAATGTATTCACAAATATGGTTTCCAACTAGAATTATATATATATATATTGTATTAAAACACCCAGACCCAGACCCATACACAAATATTATATATATATAGTTCCTTAAGCAACTCCACCCGGCCCTACAAAGGCGCTGCTGTCCCTGGTGAACGTCACGAGTTTGTTGGACTTGTCCTTGGATCCCAAGGAACGTGAGCGACCCGGCGCCAGTGCGGCAGTGGCTCATGGTGTTAATGTGGCTGATTCCGCCAAAAACCACCCCCAATTCATCACCAAATGGTCCCTGTTAATGGGAATGATTCAACCCAATAAACATGGGCCATTTGGGAATGATCAACTGTGATTTTGAGTTGATCACAGTTGATCATTCCCAGATGGTCCATGTTTATTGGGTTTACCACGGGGTTTACCACGGAGATTCTGCGCTAAGTCGGTTGATTTCAGTAACGATTGGGTTTATGGTAGATATATTGGTTGGGTATAAACCAACTGTAAATCATGGGGGTTCCGACCATTTAGACCGCACATCTTTATAAATCATGGGGCCATGGGGTTTCCTGAGGATTTCATTGGGACGTGGGGATTCAACCCAGCTGATATTGATATGTATTTGCTGGTGATTTAACCACCAACCATTTGGGAAATCACCATTTTTACCATGTTTTACCGTAATTACGAATGTTTGCTGTGGAAGATCACCATGTCAAATAGGCAGGCATGTATGAATGGAGTTTCAACATGGAATTTCGTAGGACCTATATATACATATATATATATAATTATATATATATATAATGATGGGTATTCAACCAACTTTACCAGAGGTGAACCACCCCAATATTAGATGGTCAATGGTTGGCAGATGTCCTTACTAGTGGTTGCTGCTTAGTACGCCCTTAGCAAGCCCTTAACAAGCCATGAGGTTGGAGGGTAAGCTATGGGCTTAGGGTCCCAACGGCTCTTCTGCTGGGAAGGTCCATCACCGACTTTCTGCAACGGATGAGCGTAAAGGCAGCCAGTAGCACAGAGCCTTAGCAGCCATTGGCAGGAATGGTTCAAGACTATATGTCAAATCATTTGCTCAGTTGTTTTCAGTTGTCTATCCCTATTTTGGCACTTGTTGTTGTTATTTTTTTGGGTATGGGGTAAAAATCATCCCCCGAAACTAGATCTTTGGATCTAAGAGGGCCACAATTTGAAGGGCCCTAGCCATAGCCATTTCACCAAGACTCATTTTGTGCCCTTCCATGGTGGCTCAGGCGATTGAATCTAGTCTTCAGCATAGCTGGAGTTCCCATGGATAGCACGATTTTCCCTCACGCTTTGGTATATTTTTACATTGTCATGGAAAAAAACAGCAATTTGGTGATGATTTTCCATGATTTACCCTCTGGTAATTTAACATAGCTATAGAAAATCACATAAATCACCATTTTAAGTAGGTAAACCATCTATAAATGGGCCATTTTCTATGGTATTTACGCTATTTGCCGATGACACATGGCAATTTCCCCGGCGCCTTGGACCAAGTCGTCAGGAGCGGGTTGGGACTTTGACGCTGAAGCTGAAGAAAGCGGTACCCCTTGAGGTGCGCCCCGCTGAAGCTGACACACCATGGTGGATGTCAGGGATCAAACCACATAGAAATGGGCCTATTGATATATATATATATATATAAGGGGGTCTGGGTACCCTCTGGTTATGTCAAAATAGCTATTGAAAATGGCCCAGTCGAAATAGTGGATTTTCCCAGCTAGAAAATGGTGGATCTTTCCAGTTCGTTATGTAAACGTTTACCAGAGGGTAGAAATGGGCCTATTTATATAGGGTCTGGGTAAACGGGAAAGAGTGTTTTCTTTTCTGTTTTTGTTAATGGAAGTGATACAGGTGATACAGGTACTGTATCATGGGACGACCCAGACTGCCAGAGTGACTGAAAAGGTCACTCAGTTGGCTGAAATTTCTCAGGTTCAGCTCACTGGTATCAAGGTCCCAGCACGTCGCAGTGGCCTTTTGGAAGCATTTTTTGGGCCGATGAAAAGTGCCCAGTGCTGCTGTGGTCATTTTGTTGACCCTGTTGCCCCCTTCTACTCGGTAAAAAGCTACAGTTTTACCATCTCCAAGATGTCGTGATGCGCCCTTTGGGGGGGTTCTTAGACCTCCTTAAGGTGGGAAGTGATGATGGCTGAGGCAATCGGTGGTCAAACAAGTCAGAGGTAGAGTCCGTTGAGGAGGGCAGGATGCTGATTGGCTTGTCACTTGGTGTTTTGTAATGGCTGGGCTGGCGATGTTACCCTCTGGTTATTTAACATAGCCATGGTATAGATGGCCCATTTAAAGATGGTTTACCTATTCAAAATGGTGATTTTCCATAGCTATGTTAAATAAACATATGGTAGATTTCCCTCCAGCCAATCAGTCGACTGGAAATCCTAAACGATGTTTGGTAAGAAACATCATTTGTTCATTTGAAATAGTCCACAGGTGCTGGCTTGCAAGAGTGCTACTGTAATCCTTTCAGGGTCTGGCAGGTTGGCTGGGCGCTGTATGACTGGACCCGTTGCACCAGGAATCCCAATGGATAAGCGACTACCTTGGCTTTCCAACAGATAGACTTCTTGAGGTCATCTATATGCCTATATAGTTTATACAAATCATTTTGTATAATATAATATATGAATGCAATTTTATACAAAGTTATTATATATATATATAATATGAATACTATATATATAAATATGTATGTATTATTCATTTTTATATGTCAT